TGTATTTATCTAACCTATTTTTAAAACTACGCAACGTTTTAGCCTGAATAACTGTACTCGGGAGTTTGTTCCACTCATCCACAACTATTACCAAACCAGTGCTTTCCTATATCCTTTCTGAATCTGAATTTTTCCAACTTTAAACCATTGCTGCGAGTCCTGTCTTGGCTGGAAATTTTCAGCACGCTATTTACATCCCCTTTATTTATTCCCGTTTTCCATTTATACACCTCGATCATATCCCCCCTAATTCTATGCCTTTCAAGAGAGTGCAGATTTAGGGCCCTCAGTCTACCCTCACAGGGAAGATTTCTGATACATGGGATCATCTTTGTCATCCTCCTCTGTACGTTTTCCAGAGCATTTATATCCATTCTGTAATACGGTGACCAGGACTGAGCAGCATAGTCTGAGGCCTAACCAAGGATAAATAGAGTTGAATAACCTGAGGACTTCTATTATTTATACTTCTAGATATGAAGCCAAGAATTCTGTTAGCTCTATTGCAAACACTAATGCACTGTTGTCTTGGTTTTAGATTACTGCTAACCAGAACTAAATCCTTTTCACAATCAGTAGTATTAAGATCTACATTATTTAGTTTATATGTGGCATGGTTATTTACATGTCCAACATTTAGAACTTTGCATTTGTCAATATTAAACTGCATCTGCCACTTCTCCGACCATTGCATCAGTCTATTCAAATCATTCTGGAGTGCTCGTGTCCTCATTAGAATGAATTGGACGGCCTATTTTGGTGTCAACAAATTTGCTTATGTTGCTATTTATTCCCTCATCTACGTCGTTTATGTAAATTGTGAACAACGGGCCCAACACTGACCCCTGAGGAACACCGCTTGTGATGTACCCCCATTCTGATTTCTCCCCATTTATGCAAACTCTCTGCTGTCTATTTGTCAGCCATGCCTCTACCCAGGAAAAAAATTCTCCTATTCCGTGTGCCTTAAGTTTCCTCAATAGCCTCTGGTGTGGAACTCAATCGAAAGCCTTACTGAAGTCCATATACACTATCATATTCATTACCATGATCTACCTCCTCAAACACCTTAGTGAATTATTATTATAATCAAAAAGTGCTAAGCCACAAGGGCTATACAGCGCTGCACACCTTAGTGAAAAAAAGTTAGTAAATTCATAAGAGAGGAATGCCCCTTTGTAAAACCGTGTTGAGAATCAATCAATCTGTGCCTGTCAAGATGGCTACGAATTGCTTTGGCAATTATTGATTCCATAAATTTTCCCACTATGTAGGTAAGGCTTATTGGTCTATAGTTCGAAGCCAAGGACCTGTCACCTGCCTTGTAAATAGGTATTCATTTGCCATTTTCCACTTATCAGGCACTATGCCAGTTTGTAGTGATATGTTAAAAAGATTAGCCAAAGGTATGCTAAGTTCCTCTTTACATTCCTTTAACACCCTTGCAAACAGTTCATCAGGACCTGGGGATTTGTTAGACAAATAGAGAAACTAAAACCTGAGGACCATGTCACTAGTTACCACAATCATACATAGTTTATCATCATCCTGTTCTACATAACCTATTATTTCAGGAATATCGCTAGTATTTTCCTGGGTGAAAACTGAGAGGAAGTAGGTATTTAGAATTTCACACATCCTTATCACTGATCTGACCAGAGTTACTCTTAAGTGGGCCAATCTTGTTCCTAATCTTACTTCTGTATACCTGAAAGAACCCTTTTGGGTTAGTCTTTGAATCCCTTGCGACCTTAGCCTCTTAATCCCTTTTTGCTTTTCTTATTCCTTTCTTTAATTGAATATATTGATTTCTTAACTGCCCATCCCCTCTTTTGATACGCCTATATATGCCTCTCTTTTGACCAATGAGATGTTTTAATCTATTGTTCATCCATTTGGGATCATTTTTGTTAGATCTAATTTCCCTACTCGGAACAAAAGTTGTCTGGGCAGCTAGAACTATGCTCTGAAAAATGTCATATTGGCAACCAAGATCACCTACCTGACCCATAGTCAGGACATCCCAATTTAACCCACCCAGGTAATTTTTCAGTCCCATGAAGTCGGCCAAACGAAAATCTGGGACAGATTTGATTGCAGTTATCTGGGTAATTCCATGATATATTAAAACTAAGTGATTTGTGATCACTTTCCCCAAGCTCATCATTAACCTCAAGATTATTAATTAGTGAATCTTTGTTGGCAAGAACCAAGTCAAGCAGATTGTTTCCTCTAGTTGGTTCTGTCACAACCTGTTCTAAAAAGCAATTCTGAACCGTATCAAGAAAGTCACTAGACTCAAGATTTCCTGACATATTGTTCCAATCAATTTGTCTAAAGGTAAAATCTCCCATCACAACATTTTCATATCTAGATGCCTTATGAATTTTGTCCCATAACAGCTTAGTGCCCTCCCTATCAAGGTTTGGGGGCCTATAAATCACACCCAGAATTAATTTGTCATGTCCCTCGAGAAACTGTAGCCAAACAGATTGTGTTCGATGTTTCTAATCTTATATCATGTCTAAGACAACAATTTAAATTTTGTCTGACATACATCGCCACACCACCACCCTTCCTGTTGACCCTATCAGTGTGGAATAGTTTATAACCCTGTATGTTTCATTCAGAAGGCATTTCTCTATCTTTCAGGTTGAACCAGGTCTCTGTTATACCAATAATATCTATATTACCTGCACTTGCAAGTAATCTTAGCTCATCTATCTTATTTCTTAGACTCCTACTATTTGTATAGTAAACCTTAAGGGAGCTAGTCACTCGTTGCCCTCTACTATCCCTCTTTGTTTGTTGATCAATTGGTTTGCCATTACTAGAAACTTTATTTTGAATATTGTCTTTTAAACATATCCCTGAGGTATCCTGGTAATAACTGCTGTTTTCAACCCTAATGCTGCAGCCTGATTGTTTCCCACAAACGCCCATACCTCTATAATCTATCAGTTTAAATTCCTAGACAAGTCATCAATTACCCTCTCAATTGAATTGGCTAATGCAACCACTCCATCCCCAGAGAGATGAACCCCATCCCTTGCATACATATCACGTTTGCCAAAGAATAGGTCCCAGTTATCAATGAATGGGATTGCAAGTTCCTTGCAGTACCTGTTTAGCCAGCAATTTATACCAATTGCTCTAGACATCCATTCATTGCCCACTCCCTTTCTAGGCAAGATGCTACATATGACTGGGATCCCTCCTTTAGACCTAACTACTTCTATGGCTGACCTGTACTTACCCAGCAGCTCCTCTCTCCTGCCCTTCCTAATGTCATTACCCCCAGCACTAAGACAGATAATGGGCTTGTTCACATTACCTGCCATAATATTATTCAACCTGCTGACTATGTCACCAACACCAGCTCCAGGAAGACACACACTGCCTGACCTTTCTGTCTGTTACAAAATGCACGGTCCATATATCTTACCTGAGAATCGCCTACTATTAAAATATTCTTACCTTGATTAGCAGGGGAATCAGTGGTACCTTCAACCTCACTAACCACTGAAGTACACTCGTCTTGGAGAACAGAGAATCGATTTCCTAACTTCACATCTTCTCTATTAACTCTCCTTATCTTCCTTAACTGTGAACCACTTGCCACTTAGAGCGGCTGCCACTATCACTGCTGGCGACCATTCCTTCCTTACCAGCTAAATCCTTCTCACACTCGCTCCCAAACTCATCTATGCGAAGCTTCAGCCTCCTATTTTCCTCCTGAAGTAGAATCTCCTTCTTCAACACCTGAACCTGAGATTCTAAAACACTACAACAAGCCATGGTGCTTGGTAACAGCCCACGCTAACTCCCAAGAGCTTAGGCAGGTATAACAGCAGGTGACCACTGACCTCAGCAAATGGCAAATGACATCTTGAGCATCTTTACCAGGTTGAGTCTAGCAGGTCAAGTCATCATCATGAACACTACCAATTCAACACAAAATAAACATCCTACTTGGTGTAAAGATACTTAATGAACCCATCTCTAAAACCGCATAGGAATATCACACCAAACACTTTTTGCATGATATCAGATCTATCCTTAGGAAATCTGAACAGGAAAAAATACTTAATGTGATTCCTTTTAATCCCAGACCACCCCTCAAGGAAGGCTCCTTGATCTAGGGAATTGGATCTGTGCTCCAGTTCCCTGAAATAAGCCTAAATACCTTCTGAATACCCAACAGGCCCTGTATACTCCTATGGGTTTAGCGTTTCCCCCTTGATTATAATAATAATAATCCCAGACCAGCACACACATATGGTCTTCCTAAAAAGACAAACCTGACATCCCAATGAGACCTGCCACCTCAGATATTGGAAGTGTTCCACATCAACTACAGCACTGTATGACTCTTGTGGGTTTAGTACTTGATTATGATAATACAATCAACATCAACTAGCTGGTCTATTCTACAACTCTTGGGAACTATTAGCTGTATGACATCGGTGGTTTAGCACCTAGTTTTGATTACAATAATTGGAAACTATTAGCACAGTCCACCTAAAAAACACTGGAGATCTTTACAGTATCAAGGATAAGGAATGAGAAATAATTCAGTTTCGACATGATGTCCTTGTTAACTAAAGTGCCCACCACTCGAGCCATTGATTGACTTACTTCTTGCAAGTATTCACGAATTTGATTTGCCTCTACATGCACAAGATTCATTGATGCCACTGAATTGTGTGTCAATTATAACTATTTTTCATTTGAAGACTCCATGTACAAGCAGTGTTTTAACTTGGCCATAAGTTCACCCTTTAGTACTGTAATGGCCAACCTATACATGTTACATCTAGAGAAAGTGTGACTCGGTTGACAACTTAACAATTAACAGGAACCTATTAACATCCTAGGCCTAATATAGTATATACATTTTGGATAATTACAAAACTAACTTGTATACGTTTTAAAAGTCGCATTTCTCTCTCTCTGTGCTGTTACAATGTACCAGGATACAAAAATATTAAAAATCAAGGTTTGTCTAATAATATTTGATTATTTTTTCCTCTAGGACAGCTGTTCTCACTGGAGTCACTGTCAAGAATTTAGGGGGTCTATGGCATGCTACCATCCCCCTACTCAAGAGTGCTTCCTTGATGCTGGTGAGGGGATCTTGATCCTGAGAATTGGTTCCGCTCCAATTCCCTGACTTAAGCTTGAATGCCTTCCACCTTATCCTCCACAGGTTCCGTATAATCCCTATGGATTTAGTGCTGCTCCACGATACTAATATGTATAGCATGTTACAAAAATTTAGAAGATTTGCAAGAACCTCAAAGATTTTTTACAGAATGAGGTACTGAAAATGAGCAAACATGAAAAACTTAATTTTAGAGAACATTTACTTAGAGCTTTAATTTTTTTTTTTTTTTTTTTTGAGGGCAAGAGCAAGTAATGCTGCTGTCTCAGTGATGCTTACAGGGTCATAGATAGTACAGTGGAACTTCTACTTGCAAGCGTGTCCACGTGAGAGTTTTTCCAAATGCAAGCAGTCGACGGGTCGATTTTCTGCTTCCATACGCGAGCAAAATTTCCACAAGTGAGCAGACCTCAAGGCAGGTTCCTTGACACTGGTGAGGGGATCTTGCTCTTGATCTCGGGAATTGTATCTCATTTGTTTGTTGGACTATCTTATTGAAACTTGGGCAATGTATGATGGAAAGATGCTTCTTAATGTACACCAAAAATGAAAGAAATCTAAGCATAAATAATGGAGTTCACTTCTCAGCAATTAGCCACCCCTTAGTGGTAATTTCGAATGGTTTTTATGGTTGTATCCTCGTCTTTTTGGTCTCATTTGATAGAATGGAAGATATATTACAGAAATAGATATGATTTTGATTGCTTTCACGATGAAAAGTACCTTGAAATAGAGCTCAACCTAGGAGAAATGGTACACTGCTTGGCTGTTTCAGTGTAAACAAATGGCATCACTGTCCATTCCAATATGCAGTCGTGAATGGGTTGACATTTATACAATTACTGCAATAAGGAATAACAGTAAATCTTATATTTTTTGTGTGAATAAAAATTACAAATAATTTATATAATAATAATAATAATAATAATATGTATAATAATAATATGAATAATAACAATACATATAATAATAATAATAGTATAATACAATAATAAGAATATGTATAATAATATATATAATAATAATGTCCTACATATAATAATTATAATAATAGATGGCTTCAAAAGGCCGTCACTAGATGGCAGTGTTTACCACGACAAAGAGGGAGCGGTTGTGGCCGCCTCCACCTGTTACATAATGACATATTTTATTCATTCTAGAGTATATATCGTGTTTCTATGTTATTTATATTGTCTGTTATGTCATATTAGATGAACTGTGATATATAAATAAGCCATAAAGATGATATTAGCGAAATTATTCATGAAGTATTTTGCCCGGTCTCCAGTCAAACTCTCGTCCACCGCCCATACCACTACATGAATGACACATTTTATTCATTTTAGAGTATATATCAGGTTTCTATGTTATTTATATTGTTTATTATGTCATATTAGATGAAGTGAGATAGATAAATAAGCCGTAGAGTTGATATTAGCGAAATTATTGAAGTACAGAATTCCACTGGAATGGATTAATTGCATTTCAGTTAATTTAAATAGGAAAACTGACTCTGCAAATGAGCAAATCCAGTTGCGAGCAAGGTCATGGAACAGATTAAACTCGCAAGTAGAGGTTCCACTGAACTACACACCCCACTGGCTACTTGGCAGGATCGAGCTCATGTATCTCATTTTACAGCTAGACTTTTGTTGCTGGTTGAGTGGTTATTGCTACTATTAAAAGAAAATTTTAATAGGCTATTTTCATACAATGAGTAGATCTGAAGGGTGGAAGCTGTGTTTTATTTGAAGTATAAAGTAATGCATATTTTGTCTTCAGTTTTATCAACCAGATAATTTAATTCTATGTAGATATAGATTTAGTTACAATTTTTAGAAGTGAAAAGATTGGAGAGTGAACACGGTAACATGTATGAAGGGATTCGGGAAACCTGGTTAGCCAGACTTGAGTCCTGGAGGTGGGAAGTACAGTGCCTTCACTCTAAAGGAGGGGTGGTATTGGCATGCCTCTGGCAAGACAGTGATGGAGTGAATGATAGCGAGTTTTTTTTTTTTTGGCGGGGGGTGGGGGAGGGATCCTGCCTTGGTAGCAGACTGCCGGTTTGTTAAAAAAAAAAAAAAAAAATATATACCATTCACTTGCCTATTATCCAGCTCTGATGGGGAGGGATGAAATTTCTTATGGGTCTATTTTTTTTTTTTTCACTTTAAGCATTATTTGTTTAGGTGTTCTGTATGTAAGGGGAGGATAGGAAGAGAAGGAAAGGGGGAGGGAGGGGTAGAGAGAGAGTAGGCACATGGAGACTGGGAGGAATGGAAGTTGGGTTATTGGGTGGAGGCAGGAAGTAAAAGACAAGGTGGATGGGGACTGAAAGGAAGGGAAGGGAAGGAGTGGTGTTGGTGAGCACGGGGCTAAGGAGAGAAGAAAGGTAAGCGATGCTGTGTTAACCACTGCCCTAATGCACTATTCACTCTCATCTTCAAGTCTAATCTTTTTAACAACTCTTTATAGCAAACTGCTTTATATCAACATTCACAAGATGAAGCAAAGAAATCAAGGTGTGGGTGTGGGAAATCCAAAGGCCATATTTTGAACAAAATCTTATGGTTGGTTTTCAATTAAATTAACGTGTTCCCATCAAAAGAAAATGGGCACTCCTCAAAGTTGGGACTAGGAGTGAGGGAGGGAGAAATAATATGATAGTCACAAGTCCACTTGAGTTTTAAACTATGGTCAACTCTTGTATCGTGCTTGTAAATAGTAATTTTTTTTTTTATCAAACATTAGTTTTTAAAAAAGGTAGCTCAGCCATGAAAATTTTCCTGTACTGGGACTGCAATAGCTTGGGGGGAAAAGCCAGCTGCTGCTGTTAAATGTAACCCTATTTTTTTTTCCTGTATATTCTTTACACATGATGTTATACAGAGCATTGATTTCAGAAGTATTTTTTTTAACATTCCAGCCATCTTCCACTGAGGTGACATGACAAAGAAAACACTTTTGCTGTCTTGCCAGGAGGGCACTGACATCACAGTGGCAACCCCCACCCACTCCTTCAGAGTGCAGGCACTGTAATTCCCATCTCCACAACTCATGTCTGGCTAACCAATTTTTCTAAATCCCTTCATAAATGTTACATTGCTCACACTACAATAGAACATCAAATCATGAAAACCATTTGCCTCACTCCTATCTAACATGCTCACAAGTCTGTTGGATACCCAAACCCCTAGCCCTCTAAACCTCCTTTAGCCCCTTCCTTTCCTAGGATGACCCCCTACCCCCCTCTCCCAAGATTTATATGACCTATTCATCCTATTTTTCTCCTCCGAATGTCCAAATCACTTTAACAGCCCCTCCTCAGCCCTCTGAATAACACTTTTGGTAACTGAATTCTCTGCATAATATTCACACTTAACACTGCCCTCAAACACGACATCTCTACTGCCTCGAGCAGCCTCCACTGCAACATTCAAAACCTATGCAACAGTATTGATATCACTATACTCTGGTATATTCCCATTTTTCCTCCATGGATAAAATCCTTTGTCTCCACAGATGCTTCAATGCACCACCCTCCTTTCCTCCTTGTCAATTCTACAGTTCACCTCATCTCTCACAGAATCATTTGACACGTCCATTCCCAAATATCTTAACACATTTACTACCTCCCTCCAATCTCTCATTGCCTATATTTTTTTTTATAATCTCACCACCCTGCTCTCTCCTATGTTTAATTTCCTTTTATATGCCCTCCCAAATTTGTTTACCAACCTCTACAAGTTCTCTTTTAAATCTCCCAAAAGAACCATCCCACTGGTAAAAAGCAACTCTGACAACTTCCACTCCACATCAGATTCACACACTTTCAGTCCCACACCTCTTCCTAACACCCTAGCAATGACATCTTTTACAACCCAATCTATAAATGTAATAAACTATGGTCACATCACACACACCTCTTAAGGTCTACATTTACTGGAAAAATCATCTCCCTCTCTCCTACATACCCTAACCTGTGCCTTGCTATCCACACAAAAGCTCTTTATGATAATCAAATTAAGCACTAAAGGGTCATAAAGTGCCTGGGAAGGGAAGGGGGCCACTGAAAGCATCCAGGCTCAAGTCAAAGAACTGGAGTATAAGTACAATCCTTTGCTCAATAGCCCCTCACCAGCATCAAGGAACCTTCCTTAAGGAAAGAGCAAAGATAAACCTATATATATAAGGAGAACAGTGAGGTGAATTCATACAAGGTGTGCTGAGGCTTCAACACACCTCATCTGACTCACCTCACAATGCTTCCTCAATATAGGCTCATCTCTCCTCTCCCAGTTTGCCTGTGTGAGACTTTAAAGAACACTGGGCAAAATTTTCACATCATGAGTTAGGTCAGATATGAGAGTCTATACTCTCTTAACTATTACTCTATATTAACATTCATATGAAAGACTTTAAACAAATTTGGGTATGGGCTACACAATGAGCTTAAACTGACAATCAACCATAAAATTTCAATTGATTAAAGTGCCTTGTGAAAAAATATAAAGAAAATGGACAAGATTGCCAGATAATATTAGGGCATAATAAAATCAAAGCAACTGAATAATGATGTAAAGCTGCCAGATAATGGGCGACTAATTGTATGCTTGAAAAAAAAAAAACTCCAAACGATTTACAGCAAAACTCTTGAATGCATGCCAACTATGCATTGGCTTATGTACAGAGTAATTTTCATTCTGGCTGCTTAAACAGTAACAGCTAATAAACTGAAATTTCACTTTAGTATCTAAGATCTTTGTATGCTCTGCAAGATATTTAAAATTTTTGGTCATCAGAGAATGGAAGTTTGATGTATGTTGTCTAGAAATTAGGATGCAAATCTCCATTTCACAACCTATGTGCCTAAAGAGAAGTATTTTGTTACATGTGGCTGCATGGTCACTATATAGTGAAGTCCCAAAAAATATACCTCATTGGTGTTAGTAAAACAAAGCTGCAGGTGCGAGCCGTAAACCTATCTGTGACTTGCCATCTCCGATACTATGAGTAAGGGGAAACAGAATAATCTTTAGTAACACATCACATTCACTGGAGACCCCAGTATAATGACTGGCTGTGTTGCTGTGTAGTTAATTAGAACCAATTCCCAGAAACATTTTTATCTGAAGCAGAAACCAATTTAAAAAATAATGAATGAAAGCTTTTGAAATAATCAGATGATAAACAAAATTGACTAAACAAGAGAAAAATTTTAATTTCATCTGCCTAAATTTTAGTACGATCTTCATAATTAGTGTTACCAAAGTGCACAATTGAGTATTCATAAGTTTCTCAACTTATGTTTCAATTCAGCACTTTACCCACAAGGAAAAGATGACAAGAGATAATTTGAGCTTGATTATAGAGACATGTATACAACTGACTGCAGCAACAAGAGGTGTATTGGTGACACTGCAGGTTGTATATCTGCAAATATTTGCAGAGGAAACAAACATCATGCAGTTCCAAGACAGCATTACTATGATTAAATGTGTAAAAATGATCTGGCACTGAAGCCAGTAATAACATTTTAACATGGAAAGAAATCCTACTATTAATATAACACTCATCTACTGTCATGTCCTTTTTTTTTTTCTTCCCAAGATTAAAATTTCTAACAAAAATTCCAACGCTGAATAGTTACCATTATTTATCAGAAAACAAGAACATTTCTTGAGTTGATGCAAATTCACAGATGAAATATGGTTTTCTATATTCTAGAAATGTGTGATATTGTCACCCACCTCAAACAAGCTCATAATGGCTTAATTTTCCACATTACTTCACCTGACTTATTCAGCTAGCTTATAGCCATTAAAGCTGACACCTGTAGCACTCAGTGGAGAGAGAGAGAGAGAGAAAAAAAAAAAAAGACCAGGCTTAAGGAAACGTGTACTACTTACAGACGCTCATCACTATCAACACCCACTTGCATACTTATCACAAATTAAACCTTCAAGGACTTAAATGCCAATTACATTCATACTCCTCTACTTGCATTCTGGGATAAAAATTTCCACAGGAGCTTCACTGTCTACTCCTGATTGTCTTGCTTCAGCTTCTGCTTTCTTGGCTCTCACTGCTTCCTTCATAGCCTTCCGTCTTTCTTCTAGCATCTTCTTGCGGGCTTCATCCCTAGTCTTCCCCTCCTCTGTTTTCTCAATGCTAGCCTTTGTGGACCTAGCTGGCCTCGATGGTCTAGGTGCAGGCTTCCTGCGTGCATGACCAGTGGTGACATTTTTATCAACTCCATCAATAGTATCTTGGCTTACCTGTAGCAGAAAGATGAGTAATATCAGAAGTAGTCTTATCCTATTAGCATTATTTTATGACTCATTTACATAAATTACAACAATAACTACACGTAACTTTCGCAGATAAATGCACAGACTAAAGACAGCTCAATTACCTCCTTCCATCCATTGGCACGAAGCAGCAAAATTTCTTTTAGAGAATTTTTGATATCTTCAACTTGGATGGATACCATATCCCAAAACCCAGCTAGATCTTCACAAGTTGTAGGAAATTCCTCGCCTATAGTTCCAGCCTAAGATAAAAATGAAAGTAATATAAACTGTAAGTATTAGCTTTTGCTACACACAGGGCAAGTAGGATGATTAACAAACCACTAGAATTGTTTGCTTACTCAGTACTTTTATCATAAAAATTATATTAGTGCCTGTCATCATTCCCAATATTTGGCTATACAGTAGGGCCCCACTTATTCGGCAGGTTAGGTTCCAGGCTATTGCCGGAAAGCAGAACTCCATTTTTTCCATTTATAAATGCATATAAATGCCAGATAACAAGTTCACACTAACATATATTAAGCTAGCAATAGAACTTGGCATTAAAAAGTAAAATACACACACAGTACACTCATTATTTACCTCAAAATATTTGTAGTCTTAATGTAGGGCAAAAGGTGAGTAGTATTTACTCTAAGAAGTCAGGTGTGGTAGCCCTCCTGGCCACCCCACCCACACATACTATACTACGATGCTTAAAGCTCCCTAGAGTGATAAAATGCATATACAGTAGATGCATTACTTACCTCAAAATATTTGTAGTCTTAATGTAGGGTGAGAGGTGAAAAGTATTTATTTGTAGAAAGTCATGTGGGAGGTATGGCATCCTGCCTGGCCACTGGCACTTATACCTACTACAACATTAAGCTCCCTAGAGTGATAAAATGCATATATAGCACACTCATTAATTACCTTAAAATATTTTTGTAGTCTTAATGTAGGGCGAGGTGAGTTTTATTTGTATGAAGTCAGGTTAGGAAGTATGGATAACCAGGAAGGGCAGCCCTCACCACCCTACCCTACCCACACATGTAAACAAACCAGACGAACACGTCTGGTTTTGGTCATTTTACATTGTGTACAAGTTGTCTTCACGTTGATTCAATACAATAAATAGAGAGAAACACTCCCATTCTCACGTAACACCATTTTTAGAAGAAATGACGCCCTGAGTGTAGGCATACGAAAGGAATAATTTTCTAGTTACCCCCAGTAATATTATAGTGTACACATTGTCTCTGATGTTGGACTACAAGTCGCCTGGCTACCACAAGTCCTACAAGTCGCCTGGCTACCACCTCTCATATTTATGTTAATTTATTCAACTGTGGGGTGTATTTAGATGGATTAAGCAAAATGTCTATATTAACATTTTATATGACATTTAATGCTCCTCAGTGATTATTATTATTATTATTAATATGGCATCTTCATGACTAATAAGACACTCTTAGTGATTTTATTGTGTACCTGCATGCCAGCACAGTGTGTAAGTTTACTTAGGTACAGGTACATACATATAATTGTCAGTTATAATAATAATGTAGGTATGTAGTCCGCCTGGGCTACATACCTACACCTACCTACACAACTACACAATATTTAATGTGGCCCAGAGCCATATTATTACCATCAACATACCATGTTCACCGAGTTTAATCGTTTCAAACAACTAACTTAGATGCCATCATAAACAAAGGGAGAAGTAATGAATAATTCAAGCTGAGAATTGTAAACAAAAGCGTTATGTATTAAGGGGAGTGATGTAATGTTTTCCCTCTGCCCGGCTACTACACCTCCATAGTATATAAACATAAAATGTTTATATGTTATAACGTGTTTCTTATATAATTTTGAAAAAATATAATAGATTGGTTAATGAAAATGTCTATTTTGATGTAAAATAAGACATTTAATGTGCCCAAGAGTGATTATTATTAGTATTACGTAATGTTTTCCCTCCACCCGGCAACCACACCTCCATAATATATAAACAGCATGTTTATATGCTATGTAATGTGTTTCTTATATAATTTTGAAGAAAATATCACATATGGATTAATGAAAATGTCTATTTTGATGTAAAATTAGACATTTAATGAGCCCAAGAGTGATTATTATTACATAAGATAGAGATGTGCTCATGGAGAATGTAAACAAACTGGGTAGCCCACACCATATTTGAAAGACCACTTGCCGTATAAAAAGTTTTGGTCATAATTGAGACTGTCGTATTAGGGGAACGCCATAAGGCGAAACACCGAAAAGCGGGGCCCTACTGTATTAAAAATAGGCTATTCACACTAGTTTGCTAATAGTGTGATTAATATACCATTGTATTACAAATATAATCATTACAATCAAAGCCATAATGTTTTAATTACATTGCAAACCATACTCATAACACATTCCAAGCCACAGATTAGGGGATGTCACAAATTCTGACAGGCGGGGAAATCTCCCTGCTTTTTAGACTAAAAAATGGGTTAGCCTCTTAGTGAAGCACACAACCCACCATCAGATTAGTGACTCAGCACTATAACATGGCTGGAAAATATCAGGGATGTGTTTCCATAAGACACCTGCTGACCATGTTCACCCATCAGTATAAAATGGGTACCTGGGTGTTAGTCAACTGGTGTGGGTTGCATCCTGGGACAAAACTGACTTAATTTGCCTTAAATGCTCTGCACAACAAGCAGCTTTCTATATAGTAGTATGTCACTGATGTCAGCTTAGGCCTGTATACCATGTGCAAGTACTTGTAGTAAATAAAGATATTATTATTGTTGTTATTATTTTTATTATAAAATTGCATAGCTCATGAAAAGCCTTCACAATTAATGTTATTCAATTTTGGATGAACTTTTTCAATCACTTTACATAAAACTGAACTACAGGTGGGCCCTGCTTTACAGTGCTTCGCTTTATAGCATTTCGCTAATGCAGTGGTTTTCAATTATACTTATTCTTCATTTATTCAGACTTCCTACAATAAATATATTCACCACTTACTACAAGCTAAGGACAAAAATATTTTAAGGAAAGTAATGTGTGTACTATAGAGTAGACCATCAATTAACACAGTAATTACATTCCTGAAAATGCAGTGTTAGATGAATCCGTGCTAAAGGAACTGAAGAACGTGTGGGAAAAACAGGGTTACATTCTTGGGACCCCCAAAATAAGCAAAACGACTTTTTTTTCCTTAAGGTCACCAAATCTTACAAAAATAAAAATGATAATGCAAATTGCTGTTCAATGTTATGTTTTTTCTATTGCTTATGGGTAAAAATGCAAGAGAAATAATATTCCTTATTTTAAATTATGGTTGCTGGGGTTTGGTAGTGATTGTGAAGGGAGTGGAGAGGCATCTTGGGATGAGGTAGATGGTAGTAGAGTCAGTAAATCAGTTGTCAGTCCAGTCAAGTGAGTCAGACAGTAAGTCAGTCAGTCAGGTTAATACAGTCAGTCAAGCTAGTACTGTCAGTCAAGTCAGTAGGTCAGTGAGGTCAGTCAATAAATCAGTGAAGTCACTCAGCAAATCAAGTCAGTAGGTCAGTCAGTAAATCAGTGAAGTCATTCAGTCATCCATAAACTCTAGCCATTTCCACCACACGTAAACCATACGTGTAAAATAAATTTTACAAAGTGCCGGACGAAAATATGCCACAATTTGGCAATAGTGTAATGGAAAAAACGTGCAAAAAAATTCAAGTTAATCGACAGTCTACTGTATATTCACTTTTTAGGACTAGCTGTATTGCTTACTTAATATATGACAGTGTAAATGTTATCAGGCTTTTATATGTATTTGAAAGTGTAAAGAAGCTGTTCATTTTACAGTAGCAGCCTGGAGCTTAACCTGCTGTATAAGCAAGGCCCTCCTGTACATGTATATGGAGGAGCCTCAAATGAGATTTTGTATCATCTCTACTAATTACTATGTTCTTTTGTTAATTTAATTTTTTTCTTTATGACTAACATAGCATTTCTAAAACCGTACTTTAAGTTAATCAACTAGAATTCTTCCGATGCATTCATTTGTCACTAACAAGATATGAAGTGTTACAGTAGTTCATCTGTAGAACAAAGGCTATTTTATCAGAGCTCTTCAGAGAAGGTCCTTTGAAGTCGTGAGGGGCTCTAGATCTGAAGTGGACCTCTAGTTCCCTCTCTAGGACCAAATCTATATACCTCCAATCCTTTTCCTCTTTCTTCATTTGGATTCAGACGTAGGTAAGTTTCTAATCATGAAATTTGAAATTCAGCTCTTAGGCATAAGGAAAAAAGATCATTGTCAGTCCTGTTCTAATACAGCCTTCCATGGTAGTCCTGTGGTGGTTGTCACTCAACCCGGTGGGAACTGGATTATTTTAACACGTGCTTGATAGCCCTCCTGGAACACAGGCAGGTCATTTGGCATGGGGATACAAGAATGACAAGGTTAGCTATGGTTTAGAGTGGGTAAGTGGTTTCTTTTTTATTTATTCTAAGAGCTGCCCCCATTTTTCACCACCTCATGGTTAACAAGGTTTATTCTCCTGGACCCCAGGTGACAACAGCATCAGAATCACTTCTGAACAATCTTCTGCTCCTCAAACCCAATACTAGCGTTTGACTTGCCTATTCTGGTACCAGCAATGCAGCAAAGCCACAAATCATCTGCATGCTATCTGCCAAAAGATAACAAACAACAAAACTAATGTTGAATGCATACCCTGATCTCACAGTAAGAAAAAGACATCCTGGGAGCCTCTTCCTCTAATACAAACCTTCCAAACAAAACAATGAATTAAATTCTTTTCATTATAACCAATGAATCTCAAAACATACCTGAATGACCACTAGGCACAGGAATTCATATTGATGGTAGACCTAGTGACAGTCCACCAACATTCCACTCTCAATTCAGGCCAAAAACTGCCATCATCCCTCGTGACTGAGCAGTCACACTTCACAGAATGTGCCCCAGACATACAAAAACAATTAAAATTAGAGAATCTGCCAATCACCAAAGTTGGCAATCGTGTCTGCCCTGCTCATAAACAGGAAATTCCCCACCAATACAGTGTAACTAACATTTGACAGCCATATCCTCTTTCTGCTCAGTATACCTAGCAGGTATACTGAGCAGTAAAACTATCCTACAAAACTAAAAGTTGCTATTTTAAACCTAGCACATGGACGGAGTTTGCTTTTCCCATGATGCACTGTTTGGGGTAAGTTTATTTTTTTATACTATGTACACTCACTATGCAGACCCCACTCTCTCATATCTAGGCTAAAATTTACCAGTCAGAGCATATCTGCATGAACCGAGCTCATGACACAGAACTACTTGCGAACCCTGGCCTCAATGACGTAGTCCTATAAGATGGCCACAGAAAGAGTTAATACATACCTGGTACAATAGGCAAGAATAAAATGAAGACCTCATTCCCTTCAGTAAAGTTGTTCACTCTCAATATAAAAATATAAACTTGTAACAACTTTCATCAGAGGTCTAAATATACCACAAGAAATAGTATACTACAAATTCCAAAACATAAATAGCTATAACTAGTTCTCAATCGCACAAAAGCCCAAGTACATTTCATTAAAGCTCTCCAATGTAACAATAATATTTAGATATAAATTTTTTTCAAATACAGAGAGATATTACCAATACCAAACAATAACTTTAATAAAAGCTTCTGGTTTACTTAATACTGTATTAAAAAAGTACAATACTTACAATGTTCTTATGACAGAGGCCTTGAAATTGCTGAATTTTTTGTGATACAAGAAGACGTGCCTTCCCTATAGCAGCTAACACCTTTCCACGTACTTCTTCACTCATTTCTGACTCTCTCAGTTTTAGCTCAGATTCAATTTCAGCAACCTGAGATTCAATATTACTCACTACTCCTCCTACCACCTGAAAAATAAACATTCATAAAATATAAAGAAGGTTCTTACAGAGAAGTACAGTGGGAGAGAGAATGGGTAGGTATAGCAGAAAAAAAGATGGATGGTGTCGAGCTAAAGTGACAAGATGAAAAGGAAAGGTTCATATCAAGCATGAAAATAAGATATAAATGGAGGGAGTTCAGATTCAACCAAGAATGTAAAGAAGCCAAGGGAAAGTACAAGAGAGAAGAAATTCAGAGAATATAAAAGAGCAAAAATAGAGAGAAAAAAAGCTTGAGAGCTAGGAACGAATATGTAAATCCATAGAGGAGAGGAGGAGGGGGTAGGGGTCATCCTAGAAAAGGATGGAGTGGGTAAAAGAGGCATTGTGTACAAAGGGCTTGGACATACAACAGGCATGTGTGAGCATGTTAGATAGGAGTGGAGACGAATGGTTTTTGGGACTTGATGAGCTGTTGGAGTGTGAGCAGGGTAATATTTTGTGAAGGGATTCAGGGAAACTAGTTAGCTGGACTTGAATCCTGGAGGTGGGAAATACAATGCCTACACTTGGATATTTGATATTGAGAGTGACATCTGAACTGTTGTATCTGCATGCCCCTGCAAAGACAGTGATATGTGTGAGTGATGGTGAATTTTTTTTTTTTTTTTTTGGGGGGGGGGGGGGTCGCCCTGCCTTAGTGGGAGATGGCCAGCATGTTGGAAAAAAAAAAAGGGAAGTTGAAAGACATTTAAAAAATTATGTACTTTAGAACAGAAATCTAAAATTGAACCACAGATACAATGCAGCCACAAGAGATGACTATCAAGGACCAAGTCATAAGAGAGAGAGAGAAAAAAAAAAAAAAAAAAAAGGTTCTAACAGTTAATGACATAAAAGTATGCGAAGAGCCTACCATACCTCTGTATGTGTGCTCAAATTGTTAATAAATAAATAAATAAATAAATAAATAAAGTCTGAAGGTACACCAAGGTAGGAGAGGGTACGGACAAGGTTTACCTTGGTAAAAGTACTGCAATATCTTTACACATTGATGTTTCTACATACAGTGGTACTTTGACTTACGAGTTTTCCGAGTTACGAGCCGTTGCTCAGTCGATTTTTTGCTTCGAGTTGCGAGCCAAAATCCGAGTTATGAGCGAAAAAGCAAAATTACTGAAAATGACATCTGGCAAGAACCCTGGCCTAAATGGCACAATGAAAGGTAGTTTTGGGACTTGGTACTCATAAAACAATGCTAGCGCGATGTTCTCACTGGAGATAATCGTGTAATTATCTTTAGTTATTGTACAAAAAAAATAAAGTTGCTAAGTTTTTTGACATTTGCAAAAAATCTTACCCTTTACTTCCACACAAATCCCAAAATATTTGGAATATTTCCAATATTCCACAAGCCAATTGTAGAACAATCATTTTTTTATGATTCCTGTCAATATTATTGCATTTACTTCAGTAATAAATGGTGGGCTTCATGAAATAAGTCAATAACTTACTTCTGAGATATTCAAATATCACTGCACTAATGATCTAGTGCAGTTAGCCTCTCACAAGCTTTGTTTTCTCTTATCCAGGACCAAAGAACATGATATAGGAAGGAACAGGAATGTTTTTATATGCTCGGCCTGGTCCTGGACACTCGCCATATTATGGCCTATTTTCGGCAACTTTTTTTCGTCAAAATATTGCCTCCGTTTTCGTCAATGGTACGAAACCTGTCCAGTGTCCAGCGCGCACACAAAGCTGCCTCCCCCACACATTCTCAGCCAGTCTCGTGTTGTTTCTCAGAGAGTGAACATATCCTGCGAGGTCAAACAAAGCATTTCATAATAATCCATTGTTTTTGGCACTTGTTTATTTTGTGTGACTGCTAAATAAGCCACCATGGGCCCAAAAAGCTCCTAGTGCCAGTCTTTTGTAAAGAAAGTGAGGAACACCATAGAATTGAAGAAAAATATTGTAGAAAATATGAAAGTGGTGGTGGTAGAGGTTGGTACTGGTTGTGATGGTGGTAGAGAGTGGTTGTGATGGTGGTTGAGTGGTTGTGATGGTGGTAAAGGGTGGTAGTGGTTGTGATGGTGGTAGAGGGTGGTAGTGGTTACGATGGTGGTAAAGGGTGGTTGTGATGGTGGGAGAGGGTGGTAGTGGTTGTGATGGTAGTAAAGGGTGGTTGTGATGGTGGTAGATGGTGGTAGTGGTTGTATGGTGGTAGAGCACAGTAGTGGTTGTGATGGTGGTAGAGGGTGGTAATGGTTGTGATGGTGGTAGAGGGTGGTAGTGATGGTAGTAGTTGTGATGGTGGTAGAGGGTGGTTGTGATGGTGGTAGAGGGTGGTTGTGATGGTAGTAGAGGGTGGTAATGGTTATGATGGTGGCAGAGGGTGGTAGTGGTTGTGATGGTGGCAGAGGGTGGTAGTGATTTGTACAATGTGGAGTAGGGTGCAAACATTTGTGGAGGAACATCACCCTGAGAAAGCTGTTGCAATCTGTGCCAGCGACTTTTACAATGACAGTGCCATGTCCCATTTTAGGGAAATTTTAAGTACCAAGTCCTTATCCGGGGTCACTTCCCTTCTTTGTCTTTTACTACCACTAGGACCAGCTTGAGAGTCACTGGACCCCTGTCACACAAAAAACTGGTCCAGAGCTGTTTCTGGCATCTCTTTAAGAGTCCTTATGGAGGAGGATTTCCTTTCCAAAGAATAACCTCTCTTCCCTCTCCCCTCCTCCCTGTCTTCCATACACCAAGAGTCTTCAATAAAGGTAAGCGTCATGCTGAATGTTCATTCTTTTCTGCATGTAAATCTATACTTAACCTAAAAAAATTTTTTTTTTAATACTTTTGAGTGTCTGGAATGAATTAATTGGATTTACATTACATATTTCTTACGGGGAAAATGGTTTCAGTTTTTGCCGATTTCAGTTTTCGCTGATCTCTCTGGAACGGATTAATGATGAAAACGAAGGGTCTACTATATATATCATGTTTCTATGTTATAGCGTTTATTATGTCATATTAGATCAATTCTGATAGATAAATAAGACATAGAGTTGATATTAGTGTTATATTGAAGTACTATTTTCTCCCGTCCCTGGGCTGTTTTTTTTGGGGCTGGAACGGATTAATGGTATTTCAATTAATTTCAATGAGGAAAATTGAAGTGATATACGAGCAAACTAAGTTATGAGCGTGGTCATGGAACGAATTAAACTCATAAATCAAGGTACCGCTGTATATGTATTATGACTTTTTTTTTTATAACAAACTGGCCATATCCATCTGAGGCAGAGTGACCTGAAAAGAAAAACAAAAGTTCCTCTTTTTAAATTTAGTAATTTATACAGAAGGGGTTACTAGCCTCTTGCTATCCAATTGTATTATGAATATATGTGGTAAATTACCAGGAACAAGTGCCTGATGCAATTAGCTCTGACAAAACTGAAAACATTATAATCTTAAGCTTAAAATATGTTGCTGCCAGGATTTTTGCATGCTAATAAGGATGGATTTGCAGACAATCAGCATTAACACCTGCTTCCCCCACACTAGTTCATTAATAAGAGGTTTTACTAGTATCGGTAATCACGAGAGTAAGACACGATACATGTTGTATAAATGTATCCCATGTACAATTTGCAATTGTACATTTTAAATTTTTTGAGGTTTCATAATAGCAAATACTATGTAAAAAATAAAACTACTTAGAATACGAAGACAAATCTCTGATGTACATGTCATATTTTGGGGCATATAACGGTATGTAAATTTAGCATGAAATATATCCCTCATTGTGTAGGATGCAGGGTGATTTTGAGGGTCAGATTTTGGAGAGGGGAAAAAAAAAAAAAGTATTATGTAGCAAAATACATTAAGAATAACATTACAGGAGCAATTTTGTATTTTTGTGTGGTATATTGAGTCTGGTGCAGGTGATATGCTGGATGAGGTGAGCAAAGTGATGCAAAAGCCTGAGCTAGAGCAAGCAAAGTAAGCCTAGACATACACACACCAGGAACCAAGGACTTCTTACTGGCTGGATCGTGAAATTTAATAAAATTGTGTGTCAGAAGTGGATGGGAAGATCAATATTAACACCTGTTAATATGTAAATAAGAGTGATTTAGGCAATAATATATGCTGTGTATTGTATTATACGTACCTTTATGTAAGATAATATTACACATCACCTATATTATTTCTTATTAATATTATGGAGTTCATCTTTTAACTACCATGCATGAGATAACTGGTATGAGCAGACCAGTGTTGGGGCTGACAGAGATGATGCACTAGTTGAGTATGACACAAGAATATCATCACAAGGAGCTAGTGACCACGTGGTTCTGTGCTTTGAATACACAGTAGAGTTACAAGTGGAGAGGGTAACAGGAGTTGAATGGGCAAAGCCAGACTATAAATGGGGGGACTACATAGGTTTGAGGAACTTCCTGCAAGAGGTTCAGTGGGAAAGAGAACTGGTAGGAAAGTCAGTAAATGAAATGATGGAATACGTAACTACAAAACGCAAGGAGGCAGAGGAAACGTTTGTTCCTGAGGGCAACAGAAATAATGGGAAGACCAGAACGAGCCCCTGGTTTACCCAACAGTGTAAGGAGGCAAAAAACTAAGTGCAATAGAGAATGGGAAAAGTACAGAAGGTGAAGAACACAGGAAAATAAGGAGATTAGTCAAAGAGCCAGGAACAAGCATGCACAGGTAAGGAGGGAGGCCCAGCGACAGTATGAAAATAACAGAATTGAAAGTCAAGTCTGACCTGAAACTGTTGTACAGCCACATTAGGAGGAAGACAACAGACAAAGACCAGGTGATCAGGCTGAGGAAAGAAGGCGGGGAACTCACAAGAAACGATCACGAGGTATGCGAGGAGCTCAACATGAGTTTTAAGGAAGTATTTACAGTAGAGACAGGAAGGGCTCTGAGAATACAGCACAGAGGGAAACACCAACAGGGAATATACCAACAGGTGCTGGATGACATACAAACAACAG